GATCATGATATTATTTTTCCTATCGTTCAATAGTGGTATTATAAGCATTTTCAACTGTTTGACATAGTATTTGAATGGTGTTTTGAATCCGTAAGAAAACTAAAGTCTTATATTAGAATTATTTATTATGAAGACAGAACAGAAAACGAGTTCATATGATACTGAATAACAACTACATTTTTCTTAAACAAGTCTTCGGAGGGACCTTCGGCAGTAGAACTTGCCCAGAAATCATTGTATTCCCTTTTCAAACCTAAAAAATGGGTTGCTAAAATCTGTTTACTATCTGTTATGAGCTGTTTATAAGCCATAGCAAAAATGCTTTATGTTTCAAAACCAGAGCATTCGATTTGCTATGTTTAGACTGGGTTTTAGGTAATAAACATTCCCGTCCATTATATTTGACTCCTGTTACAGCTTCGTTACTTTACTCTGCTAGCTTGCTAGTTAGCAAAAAGCAACAGCTAGCAAAAAACAGCTAGCAACAACAAAAATAAAGGCAGTACACCGCTGTTCTAAGGCAAAGCTTATAGCCAGATGAAGTATTCACAAAATGAATATACATTGTGGTTAGATTTCTCCAAAAAAGTTTACAAAGTTTGCATAGCTAACTAATTAGCTCAATAAAGGCTAGCCTAGCTCAGGGCAAGTGCTCTTTGACTGAAAACTCCACTTCTTGTTGTCCTCTCATCCCACCATGTTTTGATTGACCACTTGTATTATGCAGGTATGACATATATTTGTGTGATAATTCGAAGTTGGCTAAAGCATCTTAAAAAAGTACTGAAGTGGGGCCTAAAAATTAGCTAGCTAGCTCTTCTAACTGTCCTGTTGTCTAACAAATAAAAGGTGCTGTCTAGTGAACTGAATTAGCAATTGTTCAAAGTTCTGCTTTGATCAGATTGAGAAACAGTGTAGCATAATCACCGTATAGAAATGATTTAAATGTTTATTATTTATTATCATTAATGTGTTTTTGCAGAGTCTAACCCCCCTACACCGCACACCCCTTAGGTGTACTGACGCCTTGCTTTTCTCAAGTCCAAACGGATTTGGGTAGCACCGTGAAAACAGTGTCCTAGAAACCTCCAGGAATCGCTTAAGCTTCTGCCACAGGCTGGAAACTCTGAGTGGCTTTCAGCTGGGGTGGGGACAACAATTGGAGGGGGGTTGACTTCAACATCTGCCAAGGTTTTGCTCTGAACTCATGGATTTTCCTCCGCAAATTCCCTTACTCACATACACGCTGGATGCTGTTTTTCCTTTGTCGAGTAGTTTGTGCTGGGTTTTATAGGGTGTGTGGATGAACATGCTCATAAATGTCATACTGTTGACCAAATCTGACAAACTTGTGATGTCTTTCTGCAGCTGCGCTCACATGTATGAAAGTTCCCCCGGGGGTTGAGAGTGTTGATCCAGGATTGACCTGTGCATTTTATAGTTTAGCCCAAATTCTCAGTTTTTAGATCTGAATCTGATGTTGCTGTGGAACCAAATGAATCTGACTGGTGGAATGGTTCATGTTTAATGCTAATGCATTACTGAGGGCAGTAGGTTCCTTCTTGCCTATTTATTTGGACATTTTCTTTAAATAACCATTAAGCCAACTCTCATTGGAAAGAAAAAGCATTACATCTTAATACTGATGTTTCTAATGGTATTTTTCGGCAGTTAAGACTAAAGTAAGGTAAATAAAGTGTAAAGCCTGTTATGAAGAACAGAGCGAGGCAAAATTTTGTTAAAATGTAATAAATCACACGATATCACAATACTCATGAATCCATTGATGGATATGTTGGAAAAGCATTACAGAACATTGACAAGAAATTTTAGCAATGTTTTGTCAAGCATCTAATTTAACAACCCAAAATGTTTGCTAAGAGTCGCTCCATTAAGTCTAAAGTTTAAAGGCTAAAATGTTATGCTACCAACCTGCACTGTGTTGCTCGAGCTAACTGAAATTAGGCAGGTTGAATAGGTCATCATTGAATTTGCCACCATGCTAACGCTAATGTTAGCTCAATCATGTGATTATTAACCCAAGTCCCAGCGGTGGGCCCAAAGTTTTATTACACACTTCTACAACCTAATAAATAGCTCAGCCAGTTTGCATTGGAGTCTCTGTAGTTACTGAATAATAAGCCTTAGTATGTAATAAGCCTGGAATTTTAAGGGGTTAAACAAAAACTAAACCTGATCTAACCCAACAGTGTGACCTTACACATCTATACAAAATAAATTTCAATAATGAATATAATTTGAAATTAATAGCATGAAATAATTACGTTTTTCGTCAAAAAACTTTCGACTGTAAAACATGTCGAAGTTTCCTATTGAGTTGAATAAGAATCAGATTCGTGCCATCGTTCTGTAAAGCAACTGACAACAGTTACTACAAAGAAATGTGTTTGTGGGCAGAGCATGAATAGGTCAGTTGTACTGTGGTTTATGTAGCGTGATAACATTATACTGTGGGCCCTGTAGTGATTCCCTCTCTTACTATCATCTGGAAATCAGGGCTGTTATTCAGATACAGAACAGCTGGGTGATGGGGGTCGGAGGAAATCTTAGATCAATTTTTCTTAATGGAAGACACTTGAGTTATATGGACCCTGGCCTATGATGCCAGTGGGAATTTAGCTGATCTGGGAACATATATTTTCACGAGTTAGAACAGGAGCAGGCCCAAAAATGGTGTGGAGTGCAGCTGAGGTCACCAGAGGCTTAACAAGGCCTATAAAGTCTATAATGCACCACATATGTCTTTGGACTCCTACTGCTTAGCAACATTTCGGTATGTGTACATTGTATGTGTGTGTGTGTGTGCGCATTAATCTGGGTTTTTGTGTGTGTCTTTGTGTGTGTGTGTGTGTGTGTATGTGTCCATATGCGTGTGTGTATGTGTGTGGGGCACCGCTGGTTTCCGGGCCAAGCCTTTTACAGAGCTTTTCTTGTGGTCGGCACATGTGTGTGATTTGGGTCTGTAGCCAGTAGGAGCGCACATATACACACACAGGCGCACACACACACACACACGTACACACACACAGTGTGCACCCATAATTCATGTGGACCAGAGTCGCAGGCAGTCAGATCAGGCTCTGGCTTCTGGAAGCAAACATTTCTTTTTTGGACACACTGATGTGGGTGAGCCAATCAAGCGTTAGCTCTGTGTTTGATTCCGCAGCCATTCTGACAGTGCGGCTTTTACGAGATGAGTAGAGCTGCGGTGTAAGAGTGTGTGTGTGTGTGTATGTGAGTGTTTGAGTCATGACTGGTGTGGCGTGACTGTGTGGATTTAGGCAAATAAGACTTTAAGAACATTTAGAGTTAAATATACACGAACTTTTATTATTGGAATTCTGTTGGACTGAGACTGAGTTTCAGTGACCTCGCTAAGGGTCAAAAAGACCAGGCAATATAGAAATAAAGAAGGTAAGTAGGTTTCAGTGATTTCAAATGCAGTATTAAAATGTGTTTAAAAAACATTACACAGTATTTTGTCACTAAATTACTTAAAAAATACATTTTTAAGGAAAATAAGAATTTAAAAAGTGATAAATGAACCATTCAATTAGTTTAATTAGTTTAAACTGAATAAAAAAAGGTATTTAGATCCTAGATATTTACAGGGATTATGTTATAATCCGTTTAAACCTGATATTAATTGAGTTAGTAATAAGTGAAATATTTACAAAATCATAATTTATAGTGCACTTTCTATTGGGAGGTGTCTGTCCCAAACCCTAACCCCTAAATTTCAACTTGTGAAAATTATACTTAATTTTTTTGCATGTTTTTTAAAGATCGTTTTGATTTATTTTAAAATGAAGTTGAAATATTTATATTTTTTATTAGTTTAAGTTTTAAATAAAAAAAAAAACGTAATTGTAAATTAAAAAATACTGTCCTAAATTTTCATGTCACTACCAAAACACAAAGAGTTTTAGTATGTGGGTGGAGACCTATTTTAGCCCCACTCCTGCATTTTACAGCAGAAAGTGAACCTGCATCCCTGTCCCTCATGGCCAAATTAAGATCTCATTGTTTTGAAGTCCCCGAAGTCTGAAAATCAGTGTGTAACATTAAGGATTGTCCTTACCGAAATTATTTGCTGCAATTAAGAAAAACTTTTTTGTGTTTTAATGAAGCATATTATGATTTTGTGTGTGTTCAACTGTTTAAAGCTGTATTTGCTAGTTCTTTCTATCTCAGACAAGAGTGAGTCTCAACAATAAGACTGTACAAAACTCAGACATTTGTGAAGTTGGATTGCTAGTTTATTGTCAGTGATTGAGCCTCGGTTTTAATCAGATTCTCAAAAGTCCTTTACAGCCTAGAATTCTTCTTTATGGCTCCAGATAACAGGCTGAGAAGGTGGTGAGAGAAAGGAAAAGGTATTAGTTTGTATGACTTTCTGGACCTTGCTTCTTTTGCTTAGACAGACAGACAGACAGACAGAGAGACAGATAGACACTTGCTTTATTAGTCCTGAAGGAAACTGCACTCACTGGCACAGTGCAACTGTAAAGGTGATCCTCTGTTTAGCCAAACTGTATAGGATAGTCAGAAGTTTACTGAGAGGGCTTTGCTCTGGCAAAGTTTGCTTGGGATGCTCGATGACATCAGAATAATATCAGTATCAGCAAATAGTTGCTTAGAACACAGTGGTGTTTAGATTTGACTGATATTTTAAACCAGTCTATAATGATGCATTTATGGTGCTCTGGAAGAAGAGCAGGAAATGTGCTACATTTCTTCCTAATGCTTATCCGGGTGTATTTATTTTGTATGTAACAGCATCACCATTTGCATCAACACGCATATTGTTGCATATCAATGCATATTTACATGAAAAGTACTGGATATTGGTGTCGGCCCCACATCCATACAGCCCTACAGTTTACTGCAAATACTTGTGTCCACAGCAGAATAGAAGGACACTTCTTTGCACCTGTGAATGTAAACATTGTGTTAATTTGTCTATTTTCCTCTGTTAGTTGTAGATCCTGAGGAGGACCCCAGTGTGTTCCATCAGTACCACCGCTTCGACCTCTCTCGCATTCCAGACGGGGAAACGGTCACCGCTGCAGAGTTCCGCGTTTACAAGGACTTTGTGCACGAGCGATACGAAAACGAGACGTTTCACGTCAGTGTGTATCAGGTGCTGCGGGAGCAGGATGGCAGGTAAGCATAACTCATCCAGCTCACTCTGCAGGACGTAGGCCCGACACAATTAAGCGTCCAGTCTTTTTTACTGTATTTGTGATGAGACAGAAGCCTTGGTGTTATTTTTTTCCAGTTAGAGATGATTGGAGTGTAAATTTCAGAACTCCCAGTGGATGTGATTTTATTTGATTGTGATTTTGTAGGAATTTATTTAGTACATCATGAAATCTCAAATTTCACCATGATTGGATTCAATTCTTTGGTGCAATCTGGAATTCTTTAGAAAATTCAACTTAGTAACTCAGAAATAGAATAAATGAAAGGTAGTCTCTGATTTCTGCACTGTACTGTATTTTATTAAATATTACTATAATACACTATAACTGATGACAGCATTCTTAAATCAGTGCAGGTGATGCGTTTGTGCAGCACTATGTGTCAGTGTGTAAAGTCTGCCTCCAGCTGTGCCGTGTAAGAGTTTATTGGAGTTTAATATGAAAGCCTTACAGAAAGCCGTCGGGTGAATTGTATGAGATGAAACATATGCTACCGCCCACTCAGTCTGGTTCTGAATGTGGGAGGGATGTACACATACACACACACACACACACACACACACACATACACACTGGCGGTCCTGCCCGGTGGTAGGTGTCCAGTGCCAGTTCTCCCACTGAATTCCTGCCGCTGATTTACAGCATGGCTGTTAGCAGACTATGAGTGCAACGGCCATTACAAAGCCATTACTGTCAGCTAGTGAGGCGGAGAGGCTTCAGGAGAAAAAGAGCTCCACCATCTCCACCATCGTCCACCTCCACCCTCCTCCAGCCTGACATCAATCGCTCCTCTTCACTACTTCAGCCTGTAGACTCTGTCTTTTCATCTACGGCCATATCTCTGTCTGATCCTTCTATTCTTCAGAACAATTCTTTCAGAGAGTTCATGTTCACCAAACGCTCAAAATCACATCTCTCTCTCTCACGCTCTCTCTCTCTCTCTCTCTCTCTCTCTCTCTCTTTTGCTCTTTTGCCCTGTATGGCACTCTTTGTCTTGCTCTCTCTGTCTGCACTGCTTTCTCACTGTCTGTCTGTGTGTCTGTCTGTGTCTTTCTCACACTGTCTGTCTCTTTCTTGTTCTAGCTTTCTCTTGCTCTCACTCTATATTTCCCTTTCTCTTGCTCTTTTGGCCTCTGTGTCTGTCTCTTTCTGTTTCTCTCTCTATTTTCTCTCTATCTTGTCTTTTTCCTCTCTCCTTTTTCCACTGTCTTTTTCTCACTCTTTCTCTCTCCTCTGTTCCTCTCTTTATCTCTTTCGCCTCTCTTTCTCTTTTTTTCTCTCCTCTCAACCTCTCTCTTTATTTCGCTTGCTCTTAGTCTCTCTCAATCTTTGTCTGTCTTTCTCTCTTTCTTTCTCTCTCTCTCTTTCTCTCTTCTCTCCCTTTCTCTCCCTTCTCCCTCTCTCTATCTCTCCCTTCTATGTCTTTCTCCCTTTTCTCTCTCTCTTTCTCTTTTTGTTTCTCACTTTCTCATTCTCTTTCTTTTTCTGTCTGCTGTCTTTATTTCTTCAACCTCTTTCTCCCTTTTCTCTCTCCCTTTTCTCTCTCTCTTTTCTCCTCTCTCTCTCTCTCTCTCTCTCTCTCTCTTTCCCTGTCTTATCTCTCTCTGTCTCTCTCTCTCTTTTTCTATCTTTCTCTCTCTTTCTCCTTTGCTCTCTCTCTATCTTTCAGTGTTGTTTTTGGCCTGTCTTTATCGTCAGCTACCCGTATAGGTTTAGGGGCACGTAGACTTCAAACTCTTTTAAATAAGTGAGGGTGATTTTGTATCGGTTTGCAGTAACTTATCATTTTAAATAGGAAAGCCTTGATGTTTAGATCTTGCCATTAAACTGAAGGAATAGCTGATAAAAGCCACACATTTTAGCCCCTTGTTGTGATGTCAACATTCAACAGCACTCAAGCCTTCTAATAATAATTTGACAAAGAAAAATATCAAAACATTATTTAGGCAAAACCTGCTCTTCATTCACTCTCAGAAAAAGGCACCAAACTGTCTCTGGCACAGTACCACTCTTGTCACTTGCGTGGAACCCTGAAGGGTACTTTTTAGGTGCCTTTAGTCAGGGATCATAATTGTATCATATTGCTCCACACGCCCCGTCTCGTCTCCAGGCTTTTCATTTTACTGTTCTGTTTTAAACCATTAGGTTATAAAAAAGTAAAAATAAGTACCCTTGTCCTGATTTAAGGTGCACATATGGACCTTAAGACCACTGTTGTACCTTTGAGGGAACATTTACATTGTTTGTACCTTGACAAATGAAAAATGTGCCTGCACAGAACCCTTTTTTCTGACCATGTACCGAGATAGACATTTTGATAAAGGAAGTCGAGTGTTGCAAAATATACACATAAGTAATACTTATGTATATATATGTATTAGCACATAGCCGATTTATGTAATCAAAGTAACGGGCAATTAATAAACATGTACAAATGCATTGATCTGAATGTGGTGATTGAACTGCATTGATTTTGAAATGTCATAATCAATTATAATAATATGTGATAAAGTATGTCCTCATTTTTTGTCCAAAATAAAATTTTTCAGATTGTCAGATCTCAGATTAAAAAAAAATGGTATTATTTTTGTTGTTTTTTTCTTTCTTTAATAATTCTGAATCACACAAATCAAACCAGATTAGATTGAATTATTTGAAATTTTAATCTTTTTCTAAGGAATCATAATCAAATCACTGTGAGAGGTCAGAAACTCACACTCCTAAACATTACTCACACAAAATTTAAAAAGAAGGTAAGGTGTCCTTTTTGACCAGCAGCGAAGCCCCCCAGTTGTGAATCATCCCTGTTACTCCTATTGTGATGCAGACGCATCCCACAGACAGACAGTGAGGCGACGGCAGCAGAACACAACAAACACCCCCAAGGGTCTGTAACCCAAACCGTAAACCCAGCCATTGTTCCTGCGCTATCTTCCCTGGATCAGACAGGAATTTTAATCTGTGATACGTTTACGGAGGGAGAACTGTGACGTGATTTCCAGGGCAAGCTGTTGCCTGTCGACTTTGACTTTTGCGGCGCTCTCTCTGCTTTATTCTTTCTTGTTGATGACAAGAAGGTTGTTCAGTTCACCTACCACACACGTAGGCTAATCGGCGTCATCTCTCGCGTGTGTCATATCTCTGCTTTGTACGTCTCCACAAACGAGTCATAAAGAGGTCACGAATGGTGGTGGTGATTTGACTCATTCAGTGTGTTATTCTGAACTGGCATATGGGTTGTGTGTAAAGAACAGTGCGCTTTGTTTCCGCAGTTGTGTGGAAAAAAAATAGCATGAAGTTGAAGTATAGCCCACCTCTTCATAATCAGTGTAGGAACTGATGTTATAGATGTTTTTTGTGCATCTTATAAACCTCAATATACGTCATATACATCATAAAAGGTAATGTTTTCAGTAACATGAACCAATTCGGTTGTAGATATATGTGTAAAATGATTGTAATATGCTCACCCTGGGCTTCAAATAATTAGTAGGGCATTAAGAAAATTAAGATATTTTATCTGTCCAGCATTATGAATTATGACATAGAAGATTCTAAAATGACTGAGAAAGCTGTATAGCATTGAAAATTAAATTAGAATAAAATTAATGTCCAGAACACATCAGATCTCAGAAATGGTGATCACATCTCAAGACAGATATCTCTAACAGAAATAAATGTATTAATATTTGATATAAATAGAAAATTATAGTATGTTACCTGTCATTTAATAACTCCTCAGAATATTGAATATTGTTTTGTTTAAAAATATGTATATTTCATGATATACATTGTTGGATGTGGACTTTACATGTACAAAAATATCAGTGCTATATAAAGATTAAAACAGCCTTTAATAGAGTTTTTTTTTTTTATTCGAAGTATTTTCTCATACAAGTCAGCTGTTTTTCTTTTCAAAACTAGTTATACCCAGAATTGTTACATATAGATATTGGCATTTTGGAATGAAATCCTATAACAAATAATAAAGGGTAAAAGGGCAATTGAAATTACATATATTAAATTGTGTATATACACACACACACACACACACACACACACACATATATATATATGATTTACGATTTGTATGTATGTTATATACTCACCAAGCTCTTTATTAGGAACACATTATACACTCATTGTCCATTTTATCAGCTCCACTTACTATATAGGTGCACTTACAATTACAGACTGTAGTCCATCTGTTTCTCTGCATACTTTGTTATCCCGCTTTTACCCTGTTCTTCAGTGGTCAGGACCACCGTAGAGCAAGTAGTATTTGGCTGGTGGATCATTCTCAGCACTGCAGTGACCCTGATGTGGTGGTGGTGTGTGTGGCGTTGGTACAAGTGGATCAGACACAGCAGTGCTGCTGGAGCTTTTAAACACCTCAGTCTTACTGCTGGACTGAGAATAGTCCTGACCACTGAAGAACAGGGTGAAATGGGGCTAACTGTAACAGGGTAGAAAAGGGGCAATCTGTAATTGTAGAACTACAAATAGCACCAGTATGGTAAGTGGAGCTGATAAAATGGAGTGTAGAAACAAGATGTTCCTAATAAAATGCTCGGTGAGTGTATGTTTTATATATTTCAAATAATAAGTGTTCCATATGTGTAAAATTTTTACTTAGTGGTCACTATATTAGAAACATCTACCTTGTACATCCACCTTGCTGGTGTACAGTTAGAGACCATGGCCCCTCTGTTGATACACAGTCATGCTCCACTAGCCATGTCAGAAACTGACAACGGAGTTGCTCCTGGCTGGATATTTCGGGGGGGGGGCACTTTCAACCAAGCAGTGACATTAATACCACCGCATGTCAGAATCACTGCTGCGCTGAGAATGTTCCCCCTACCAAATAATATCTGGACAACAGGTGTCCTGTGGTCAGAAACTGACCAACAATGAGTGGAGTAAAAGGAGCTGATAAATTGTGCTTGGCTCCAGTCTGTAATCATAAATCTATGCAGTGGACCTATAAGGTAGATGTTTCTAATAAAATGTCCAAAGAGTGAAAGTACAAAGTAGGGCTTTCAACTCAGTGTAAATATGCATTTGTGTTCACATACTGTTTGTTTTCACTTCCAGAGACTCAGATCTCTTCCTGCTGGACTCCAGGGTTGTGTGGGCAGCTGAAGAAGGCTGGCTGGTGTTTGACCTCACTGCCACCAGTAACCACTGGCTACTACATCCGAGTCAAAACCTTGGCCTGCTGCTCGCTCTAGAGAGTCAAGATGGTGGGTTAAAACTCATTGGAATCACCTAAATAGCTTTAACCAACTTTTCAGAGTCACGTGACTCAAAGCTAGCACAGCGCTGCTAAAATAACACAGCAGTACTTTATGTTTTCAATATGTTTTTGCTACATAATATTAACTGAACTGTTGTGACTCGTGGTCGCCCCCAACAGGTGAGCGAGTGAATCCCAGGGCAGCGGGGCTGATAGGCAGCAGAGGGCCTCAGAACAAGCGGCCATTTGTCGTAGCATTCTTTAAAGCTACCGGAGTCCGTCTCCGCAGTGTCCGCTCAGCCCCGGGACACAAGCAGAGGACACAGAACCGTTCCAAAACCCCGAAACATGCAGCACCTTCTAGCCAGGAGGCTCTGAAACTGGCAGAGGCAGCAGGTAATCCTTCTTATCTCAATCTGATTGTAGAACCGCATGCAAGAGGTGTATGCTGGTCTGGTGCTGATTTAACTTTTCACCCAGCATGGTCATGCTGGTTGACCAGCATATCATCACCCAAAACACAACATATGTTGATTTTGGTGGTGATTAGTATAACAGTTTCCACTGATGCTGACCAGCATATCAACATCCGAAACACAACATATCATCACTGTCACGCAAAAAACCTGTTTCTCTGTTTGTCTCATTTTTAACTTTTTTTGTGTAATTGAAAACCTATTACCCTTTGCATGATCTTAAAATTTCACAATGAACAGAGAAATAGAAGTCCAAAATGACTTTGACAATCTTGTTACATTAACTTTTATAACAAGTTAAGGAGGTTGTTGATCGATGCTGTTTTTAGCAGGGATGTAATGCTTTGCTTTCTCCTCATAACCCAAATTAACAGTGACAACTGTGTACAGACTTTTAGCCAACTACAGCATTACCCAACCACATTTGGGTTAAGGGGGAAAACTGTAAATTCGACTGTTCCTTTAAACTGATTTACTGGTTATTCTCCTTCTGAATGCAACTGACAAACCTCCCCTCTTCTTAATAGAGAATGTCAGTGTGGACCCAAAACAGGGCTGCAAGAAACATGAGCTCTACGTCAGCTTCAGAGACCTGGGGTGGCAGGTATGATGAAACACATAAATAATCTCTCTCTGAACTCCGGAACAACACATGTTCTCTCTCTCTCTCTCTCTCTCTCTCACACACACACACATACACTCAAGCCCCTTCATGTCTGTATTCCTCCTCTAATCTTTCTAAACCTCCATGTGTTTGTAGGACTGGATTATAGCTCCAGAAGGCTATGCTGCATATTACTGTGAGGGAGAATGTGCTTTCCCTTTAAACTCCTACATGAATGCCACTAACCACGCCATCGTACAGACACTGGTAAGTGGTGCAGAACAGCATAGCTTCACATGAACATACTTTAGCATTATGTAGTTTTAGTAGAATTTCTCCACTTGTTTCAATGAGAAATTAGCATATCAATATTATATCAAAGTTTATAAAATGCTATTTTTACCACCAGCGATTTCTGTAATATCTAAGTGTTAATTTTGTTAAATTGACAACCATTATTATACCAGCGTTGTTGTTGGAGATTTCCTTAGTGTGTCTATAGAGAAGATAGTATAATAAAGCACAGACACTGAACCTCACAGATCATTAATCCAGATTTTTCCTCCAGGTGCACTTCATAAACCCGGACTCTGTTCCGAAGCCCTGCTGCGCCCCCACTCAGCTCCACGGCATCTCTGTGCTCTACTTCGACGACAGCTCTAATGTCATCCTGAAGAAGTACCGTAACATGGTGGTCAGAGCCTGTGGGTGCCACTGACCACATGTTCTACCAGCCAGAGACTGAGGGAAGGAATGAGGAAGATAAAATAAAGGCCAGTTATGCCTCCAAGGAGCCATGCAATTAATAGGACTCATTAACTGGAGCAAATCTGGACCACTGTGCTACCACCACTTGCTCAAAAAACTGTGCCATACAGAGCTGTTGTGGCAACTGTGCACCCCCAGCCAAGTGGACAAGAGTGGGGAGTGGTCTTATTATATGCTGTACAGGCTGGAAACGGCATGTTTCAGTCCAGGGGCACAGACAAATATGAGGAGATGGGTGTTAAGGACACTTTTCTGTGGTTTCCCATCCAAGATGTATCTGTTTCCTTGCTAGCGCCTCTGGACGCAGAGCTAAGGGGATAAGACAAATGTACAAATTTCGTCTTACCTTAAATGTCATCGATGAGGGAAGACATAGTTGGTGTCTGAAATTTGCTTCAGTGGTTTTGGGCTGGAGCTATAAGGGCTAATGTAGCTAACAGAACGACAGAAGCTTATAGCTAACAGCTTATAGTTAGCATTGTACAAACTGGATGCCTAAATAATCACACATTTGCCCAAAATGGCATCAAATTGATGAGTAATCTTAATTAGATTTGCTTATGTGTTCTCTGACATACTGCTATTTATAAAAATGGATAGACAAAATTCAGGATTCAAGATGGCTGCTAGTTCTGTTTTTAGCTATGTATTTATACTCTTTCCATTTTTACAGATGCATTGTGTCAAACAGTATCAGAAACCACATAAAAAAGGTGATTTAAGCTTACTTAACAACATTGAGCCGTGGGTTGGGTGATTTAGAAATGCACTGTTGGCTATAAGCGGTTGGCTGTAAGCTTCCGTAATTGGTTAGCATTAGCCTCAAAGGTCCAGTGCAGAACTAAAGAAGCACTTCAGACACCAAAAATGTCTTGGCTAAATTATTACTTTTGGGGTAAGGGGGAGAAATATTGTGTGGATTTATTTTATTTGGCTGAGCCATTGTGTTATTTGGGCATTCCACTGATTTTTCAGAATTTCTCCATAGTTTAGTCATGTAAACAGAGTCATTCAGACTGGTTTCATGTGAAATGGTTCATTAGAGAGAAACTTAACGTGATAAGAACCAGGGGTCATTGTGTCTACAATGCAAATAAGTTTTATTATTCAAAATGACCAGTTAACCTACACATCTTCTGAGTTTTACAATGGATTTTATGGTAATAAGTCTAAAAAAGAGTTTTCTTTAGATACCATTTTGCCTTCTAATTCCTTGCAGGTACCTCTTCACCATAAATCTGTTGTAGAACAATATTTTTCGGGCCAAAAGATTATCTGAAAACTATTTTAAAAAGTTTCAGGCGTAAGGCAGAGTATTCATAACCTCTCAATAATTCATAATAACTTTGTGTGAGGGAGCTTTTAGAGGTGAACGTATACAACAGAGCATTTCACATCAATCCACTCCGAATTACTTTGTTTGCATCTTTTTCATTTAATTATACAGAAAGTATGAAAAATCTGCAGAATTCTTCAGTAAAAGTGCCAAAAATGCTTCCCTGTTTTATGAATGTGGACTGAGACTGCACATTGGTGGGCTTTTGATTTGGTCTTGCCTATGGTGGGTCACATGCATCAAACAACACATTTTATTGTTATAATTAATGATCACAGTCACTAAAAAGGCCCTTCATGTACTGAATTTGGCGTTTAGGAATAAAAAGCCAGATGAGAGTTCGCTGTTCTTTGTACATTGTCACTTCAAACTGTTTTATAAGACTGTGATTTACAACCCAGATGGACATCCGCTCTATTTGTGTGTGTGTGTATGTTTTTCTGACCCTCCTGTGGCCAAAAAAAGCCCATCCCACACACTCCACTGTTCACATGGCCCATTGTTCGGCATGTGTCGGCCGGCGGCAGCAGGACCATCACTTACTCTGGGCTCTCCTCTGATGGGTGTCCAAAGCTGCAGGTGGGGCGAAGAGGCCGCAGCATTTGGTTCTCATCTGAGTTCCCTCAATAGGCCACAAGATAAAGTGAACTAAATAGAACTGTCTGGAAAGGAGCAGGTGCAGTTTATTCATCTTTCGGAGGAATTTAACAGCTGGTTTTGGTCATGCGAAAGCAATATTATACCAGAGAGCTTATGGAGACTTGCAATAAATGGAAGAGATGACCTTCGAGTCCAGATGTTTGGAGAAATATTTGTGTAATTCATAATCCTGTTTTTTAAGTTGATCAGCTTTTTGGAACAAACTCATCAATCAGTTGAACTCACTGAATCATTTATTGCACATATCCAACAAATATTCTTGTCATATGAACTAGAAAAGAAAACGTATACACATTTATGATTTTATACATAAGTGATACAAATCAAAATAGAAAAAATATCATTGGTTTCAACAAGGCAATATACAACCATCTTTTTGAATATTGTAGCTGTCATACAGTACTGAGCAAACAATTTCCTGTCAAAACAGTATATTAATATTAACACCTCCAAAGTTCAGTCTTAGAATTTGGTTGCATTTTCTGCTTCTTACGATCCAAATAAACTCAAACACATTCAGTGATGAGGTCAGTCCATTGTTCTGAAAACACCATCAGCTTCTTTGAGTTGTTTGCATGCACTCGACAATCTGATCTTAATCAAATTTCTGCAGTTATCTGATTATTCAAATGGTCATGTAAACGGCATACTCCGATTTCTCAGATCAGAGTAAGGTCCAGAAATCCAATTAAGAAATCCGATAAAGAGAGCTGGATTTTAGCTCAGTAATCAAATTTCTCAGTGCCTGTGAACTCTTACTCTGATTTCTTTCGGATTTCTCAGTCTGCGCGTGTGCGAAACAGACCGTGGTACCAGAAATAAGCAAACAGTGTTGGTGCGAGACGCAGCAAAGCACTTTTGGAGCGACGCTGAAACCAACTACATGCTTAACAAAGTGAAAGATTTAAATATTCTTTATCTTCTAGATGATGTATGGTCATATTTTCAGGTAAAATGGTGGCGCAACGTTTAAAAAAAGTCGTTGCATGAAGTTCGAGTTTAGATTATGTTTGACATCACGTCTGTGAGTTTATTGGCTGGAAGCAAAGCAGAAATCCGATTGCTGCCTGACTCATGTAGACCCAGGAGAGAGTTTCCATTATCTGAATACTCAAGTGAATGTAAACGCATTGATCGGATTTCTGACGCAATCTGATTATTTGCAGTTATCGGATTATTAAGTGCATGTAAATGCACTCATTGTTTGATTTCCAATTTTCTTCTTTTTGTCTGTTTACTTTTCTTAGAAAGGGCTCCTTGACAGCTCCATATCCATTTAAGACCTGTAGCGCTGAGTTGTCTTCTCACAGTGGAAGGATGGACAGAAACACCTGTTGACTTGTTCAGATTTGAAGCAAGAGTGGAGCTTGATTTTCTCCTCTATCAAAGATGAAACCTTTAAGTACTGTTTGTATGATGGGAACAGTTTTGGTGGTCTTATAGGGGATTATCTTATATCTAATCATCCCAGAAATATCTTCTAAATTAATAAATTGCACTTAATAGCTAATTTGAATGGAAATAATAAAAACTGACTTTTGCACAGTACCATAAGAAAACCTTATATATCCAAAACAGAAACAATATAGGAAACAGAAAAACATTCTTTTTATTTATTAATGTATTGTGAAAGGTTTGCTTATTAAATTTTCTGTTTTGACAAAAAGTTTAGCTGGTGTTTGATGCTAAAAATGAAAGGTTATGAATTATGAGGTTTTCTTAAGACAGGGACCATATATAAGAGATTATATGCAGTTCTGTTAAAAAATAAGCAACCCTATGATCTCATTTCATGTTGTAGTATATTCCTGAGTTCGGGGGCTGAGCGGTGTCTCTTTCGCCGTTTCCCTGCTCTTGCTACCTCTGCCGACTTTTCTGTACCATTCACCTGATCCAGGTGTCCGCCATCACCCTCGTCTGTGCCGGGCTGGGTGGGCGTGGCAGCTGGGGTGCGCACAGGTGCTAGAGCCAGGCAGACGTCTCCCAAGTGCAGCTGGTGGCAGCGGAGGCAGCACACGTGGGCCGTCCTCTCAGGGCTGCAAGAAGACCAGCCGCGGCCACACACGAAGAATGGGTACTCCTCACACACCTCCAAAGACAACTGAGAGACAAACACAACCAGCGTGTCAGTAACTTAAAAATTAGCTATTTTTACAAACTTCAGTTTCAAAAAAGGGTACAGTGTGTGAAATGCAACTAACAAGGGAACCCACTTTGACTGCGACTTCAAAACAGAACCAGCAAATAAAAGATATTCATCTTTTTACTTTGTCAACTTATCTGTAAATTTTACCTTTATTATGAACTTGATGCAACACATTCCAGAAAATCTGGGACAGGGAATGTTGTGAAATGTAAACAGTTAATCATGCTCCTGTATAAACAAACATTCAGGAATGGCCTAGCTGTGAACAAGGACGAGTTGAAGCTGCTATTCACAGCAGAAGCCATATGTCAACAACATTCAGAAATGCAGCTGACTTCTCTGAGCTCGAGCTCATCTGAAATCGACTGATGCACAGTGGAAACCTGTACTGTGGTCTGATAAGTCAACCTTTCCGGTTGCTTGTGGAAATAAGGATCAGCTTGTTCTCTGGGCCAAAAAAGAAAAGGACCGTCCAGATTGTTACCAGTGTAAAGTTCAAAATCCTGTCATGGTATTAGTGCCAATAACTAGGATGACTATATCTCTGAAGGTACAACTAACAATTAATATTTAGGTTATTTGAACCATTGAACTTTCGCAAGGCACATTATCTTTCAATGAATAAATCTTTCAATTATCTAAATTTTGCAGTAATAGTTGATAAGTAGGCACATACAGGCTTAGATTGGACAGTTTAAGTAAGATTAAGACATTTCAAAAAAGTATACATCATTACTGTCTGCATTTGCCAAATTTTATTCAGAGAATCACAAAGACTGACCCTTTTTTTGTGCACAGAGACTTTAAAAAGTATCTGTATTAGTGTTGGTGTTGGGATACTAGCAGGGATGAATGACTGGACAAGCTATTGCAGCCAGAGGCCTCGAGAGATCTCAGACCAATAGGCTCAAAGTGGCAATCCAATACAGATGTAAACATTAGATGAACAAGTAGCCCTTGTATATGTACAAATGACTAAATAAATTAAATAAACAAAGAAATGTTTTACATTTTCTGCTCATCGACTCACGGGAAAGTGTTGCCACACCAATGCAATGTTAGCACATTATTTTTGGAGCGGCCTCCAAAGACTTGGAGTGCTTAGGGGCCTCGCAAGGCCACAATCCATTTCTGCATACTAGCCTTTGTAAAATCAGTCCTGTCATCCATTCCTTATGGTAACAGCCATACCCACACTCAACATAGGAAATAATAAATAAAGATAAACATACAAGACTCCTTTTCAATATACCATCATGCCAATTCAAATATGTGCCTTGTATGTGTGTCTACATTGAGGGTTCTCAAGCTTTCTTGACAAAGTTCCCAAAGTTTTATTACACATTCTTATAACCTAAGGATATCTCAGCCAGTTTGCATTGAAATCCCTGTACTTACTGAATAATAAGCCTTAGTATGTAATAATTGTGGGATGTAAGGAGTTAAATGGACATGTTTGTGGTGCTGGGTAGTACATCATCTATACCAATATACTGTGATATCGACAAATCATAATGTGCTTAGTATGACAGATAATAAGATTTATATCCACGATGTAATTCCCATAAAACTGCCGTGTTCCTGTTGCCAAACTATTTGTTTTTTAGTCATTTTGATTCTATTTTGTACACTTAACTTCTGGCATCCAGGCCCTGACAGTTAACTGCAACATTCACAGAAACTGGATGCATCAGACTTTCAAAAAGAACAGTTTAAAGCTAATAAACATATTGCTGTTGTCAGAACAAAACCTTGTATCTCCAAAATGATACTTTACAGGAGAAGAAAAAAAACCTTCTTTACTTTTAATGTAACTCAATGGAACCAGACATTTTTCCAAGTCATTTTAGGCCATTTCTTTTGTCCATTTATCATGTAATTTATACACAATGTAAAGGGCAACAGGCATTTTCAAATCATGTCAAAAACTGAAAAATGCCAAAAATGGAAATACAAGGTTTTGTCCCAACAGCAGTGATATATAAAACAAATAACAACTAAACTAAATAACATCATTTGAATATGTTTAACTTCTCAAATGGCCAGGGACCAACAACAGGCCCTAGGTTTTAGGGTGCATAAGTTCATTCACTTTATAAATGTTAATTTATTAACTTTGTTCATGCTCTTTTAATATATCATATGATTATGCGTAATACCATGATGCATTCAGAAAATGTCACAATGCTGATTTTTATCAGTAAAGCCCAGCGCCACATGTACACATACATTCACACGTGTACATCATACTAATGAACAACTTCATCATAATAATAAACAACCTGTCCATACCCAAACATTTATGAAATGGCTTTTTATTCTAATTAGTGTGTGTGTGAGAATGTGTGTACCTTAGAGTGGAGCTCATCCTCCAACTCCACCTCTAAACATGTCAGCCCAGGTGTGGGTGAGTGTGTGATCTTCTGCACAGTAAATCTCCTCAGACTCAGCTCTGGGCATGACTGGGTGCAGATCTCGAAATCCTCCATCTTTAAGTCCTCCACTCGCTTCAGCTTACCCCCAACCAGCTCTATCAGAGAGCCCTCCACAAAGCGAGACAGCAACCAGGTAGAAGCCTGCTGCTTTTGGGCCTCTGCACCTTCACTCCTGGCCAGCAGGGGGAGCTCCTCTCTTGTTTGTTCCTCACTGCCCCACTTCGACTGCTCAGTGTTGGAACATGTAGGCTGAGTCACAGGAAGCTGCTGATTGTGGAGATCTTCTGACCTGGCGTCACTTGATAGATCCTCTGTCCTTCCATCCGGGGATAAATCCTTCAACTCAGAATAATGTTTGTGCCTGGAAAAGTCAGCACCTGACTCAGCAAACTGCACAGAATCCCACTTCACACTGTCTCTTGTGTAGTCCCTCTTCCTCATTCTCCAGTCTTGTAGAGCTCTCTGGTTCTGCAGTCTTTCGTGCCAATGAGTCACTCTCTCGCCTTCAAACCGCTGCCTTGCTTCTTCCCCACTTAGGCAATCTTTGCTGAGAATCCCTCTGCTGTAATGGCACGCGAAAGACTGAGGGACAGGCTTTACGATTGGCGGCCCGTATTGACCACGGAGCCTTCTGTGGTAGCTTTTCAGGAACACCTCTCTTGGTTCTGTAGGGATGTAGCTCCAGTAGTAAGGGGAACCATAGAGATTGTGCAACCTCATGGAATCACTGTTATCTGAGTTTGCCACACTCATTAGCCGTTCGCTGCTTGCGAAATGCTGACCCCAAGAAGGGAACGCACCATTGTCCGCTAATGCATGTGAAAGGGCTGGGTTCAGGACGGAGGCCGCATCAGGCCACTGTGGGTGATACGCAGATGCTAAATGAGGGTCTATGTGAGAAACCACAGCGGGTTCCCGGGACCTCCTTATCCTCTTGAAGCCATTCTGATTCCAGAAAGGTGAAGGGGTCTTAAAAACATGCTCGGATGGAGGTTCAAGGTTGGAGTTCACTCGTGCGTTCCTCTTCTTGGGTGGGAGGGTCTCGGGAATAGAAAGGGAACTTTTCAGGCCATTAGTCGCCATGGAGACGCCAGGTATTCTACTCAAATACTTTCTAACATGTCTTCTTCTCTACTTCATGACAATGGATGACACCTAAATGGCAGCATCTCCATTTAGACAGTGTTCCATTTGGTTCAATTGGTTCAATGTAGCTAACAATGCTAATGGACCAAAGTGTCAAAGAGTTGCCTACTGAATGGGGAGTTTTCTTCAGTGTGCTGGATCGAATGAAGGTTTCGAATTTTCAGGCTGACAGATGGAAGGACTGTGATTTATCCTCAATGGAGACCAAGGCCTGCGTCAGTCAACCTGTTAGAGGACAAATGTATTATTGCAAGTTTTTTAAACGGACCTATAAACAAACAACATACGACTTTAACTTGACTTTGGTTTAACATACATTTTGACATATCTAGAAGTGCAAACGGCACACGAAAGCTAGAATTTTGTTGAAGTGTGGCAGTAGAGTCATTCAAGAGTCCTGAAATTGAAAGTGGGAGACGTCTTTGCTTGTTAAACCCCTCCCCGTCTCTGTTCAAACAGAACCTCCTCAATCGTAGCTGCTTGCGCCATACGACAGATTTTCCTGCCCGCTCTCGTATTCATCTAGTCAAAGAGCTAGCAAGTGTGCTCTCAGGAAAATAGCTCCAAATGAGTGCTTTTATAATGCTTTCATTGAGAGCTTTTAGTCCCAGACAAACTATAACGACATGGTACTTGATTGAAGTCTGCAAACTTCAACCTTTTCTCTTGTATAAGAGCGTTACCATAGAAACAAAGTGCATGTTGGAGTCTATAGAAGGTTAAGAGTGAAATGGCCACAGCACGCGCTGGCAGGTTAAAAACAGATTGAATATTTGAAGAGAATGGCAACAGTGTGCCTGTTTATTCAGCCGTGGCTGTCCGTGAGCCGAAACACGCCGCCTCGTCTTTGCATGGTAATGAAATTTACAGCCTCCATTTATGGCTGCTTAAAACTTGCTGTTTGCTATGCTATAGTGGCTAAACTAACCTCACAATTACCATTGGATTACCACAGCCCTCGTTTTATTACTGCACTTCAGAAGAATTTTACAGTCCTCATTTATTAAAGCAGCTTATTCATTCAAATTTGCACATCATCCATTCAAATGGCCCTTATGACCTCAGTGGTCACTTTTAGATATCGAGGCTTTTCTATCAGTGTGATGTAATGTGAAGGTTGTTGGAAACTTCATGTAGTAGTAAGGCTTGCCAAATACAAACTTGTGAAAATGGCATTAAAGATATACTCCAATGTATGAATAGAATATTGTCTTTTCCAGTACACTCATTTTTTCTATGGACAGAAAAGGCCGCATTTCATAAATGTCTACACCATCCACGCTGTCTACGTCCATAATGTGGACATCAGCTGAACTGTCTAGAGCTGATTGTAGGATAAGTGTGAGCCACAGCAAAAATAAACAAACAAACAAGCAAACAAATAAATGAAAAATGCAGTTAGGTTGTAGGATTCTATAGAACAAGCTGAAAACTGCCGCCATCTCTCATTTACAGCACAAGGAACAAGGCAGCCACTTATCACGACGCTGTGACCACAGTTCAGATGAGCGGGACGGCAAGCCTCTAAACAAACAGAAGATTAATGCTGCAATACGTACTCAGCTCTCCTGCTAATGGCAAAATAGTGTGTTTATAGTGTGTTCTATGCAAATCCCATTTAAAAAGGCCTACAGTCTAGTCACTGTGTAAGTCAATGGGCGGTCTCATAAAACGCTTCTACAGCATGTATTGAAAAGTTGCACGGGGCATTAAAGCATGAAGTGACATTCAAATCTAGTGCAAGAATAAAATAAATTTTGACATTTGACAAATTTCACATTTCATAAACATATATACGTATACATTTTGCCATATTATGAACATACAGTACAATAAAAAGTATATTCACACACATTTAGCCATATAACTCTTAAATCCTTATTGATAAAAAAGATTAGTTTTACATTTAAAAATTGTGAATGTTTTTTGTGTTGTCTATAAACAAACTAATGGAAGTGAAACACCAGAAACTAATGACATTTGTACATAAATCCCACATAAACACAGTTACTGCTGAAAGTAAGTAAACTGAAAGACAAAACTGTACTGATGTGATAGATTACATTCATCTGTACACATTTAAATCAAGTCCATTCGATAGCACTTTCCCCAGTGTATGTAACACTACTGCCATTGTACATTAATACTCTAAATTAGCCCCTAATTATAAGCACTTTAAAAAGGTAGGATGACTGAGATGCCCGTACAGTCTCAGCAATACAGTCTGAAGCCTGAAGACACATCTGCAGAACAGTGTAGACACACAAACACTTACAACAGGGTTCTAGGCAGCTTCTCTTACCTTGTTGGTCCCCAATTCAACATAACGGTCTGGTCTTGATGCAGCGAACTGGAAGGAAGTGCATTCAGTTTTGATGCAGACGTGCACACAAACTGTTATCTTTCATTCCTCCTACTCTTTCTCTCTCTCTCTCTCTCTCTCTCTCTCTCTCTCTCTCTCTCTCTCTCCCGCTCTCTTTCTCTTTTTCTCTCTCTCTCACTCTCTCCCACTCTCCTCTCAGCTCACGCTATCCAACTCCTCTCAGCTTGTGCACTCTCTCTCTCTCTCTCTCTCTCTCTCTCTCTCTCTCTCTCTCTCTCTCTCTCCCTCCCTCCATCAAGCTCTCTCTACCAATGTGAGCCATATATTAATAGACATTAATGCAGAATTTCACTAGCAGTAGGCGTAAGGTCGTCTGACGATTCTTGTTGGTTCATTTGGAAAGTGGGAGTTTTGCATTGAATTGCCACAAATTGAATTGAATTGAATTGCATTGAATTGAATTATCCCACTTAAAAGGCACTTCATTTTCATGCATGTCAACAAATTGGTATTCTGTATGCTTGTGATTCAACAATACATTCATACATAGTCATTACATAGGTGTTGTGATGTAACAGTGTATTCATGCATATTCATTACACATGCATTATGATGTCACAATACATTCCCATTTCAATTACAATACACTAAAATCTGATTCCCGAGGTGCAATATGAGGATTTCTTTTGAGTAACTGGACATCAATGATCTTGTCATTGCTTGACTATTGTAATGTGTCTGGAAATGATGGGCAGCTATGAAGCTCACATGCTATAACATTGCTGGCAGTGGTTGTATAATACTTGTTATTATACAGAGACTTTGCTAACTTTAGATTATGCAATTTAGTTTGTCTGACTGAAGTAAAGCCCCCACACACACAGACATGAAGAGGGATTCTCTGTTTGAGTCATATCGCAGATCGTCTGCCCACACACACACACACACACACACACACACACACAAGCACACAGTACAACACGTTCAATGTAAAGGCATCTCCAGTGTGTGTGTGTGTGTGTGTGCGTGTATGTGTGTGTGTGAGTGACATTTAAACCTAATGCTGATAGAGTTGTGTTTTTCACACTCCCCACACACTCCTAACAGCTGTGGTAAACTGTCTGTCTGGCCCCAAAAAGCAGAGTCTGACCTCAAAAGCGAAGTTTTCAGAACTTTATTTTGAACACAAATGAAGCAAGAAAGGGAACTACAATCAGAATCAAACCACATCTGTAAGCCTCTCAATATTTTCACAATGAAAAAAGCACATCAATAAGGGACCATGATTACTAGCGTCAGTGGACCAGTGAAGTGTATGTATGCTTTTTTTTTCTGTGCGTGTGGGTGTGAGAGAGCGAAGCAGTATATGTTACGCCAGTAGAGTAGCCTAGATTTTAAAGGGCCCATATCACGAAAAGTTTTCTTTGCTTTTCTACTAAAATAAAAATGTGATGTTGACATGAAATTTCAAAAAGTGGCACATACAGTCAATATATGGAAACCAAACTGCAAAAACACCCTATTTTGCTCCTTTTTTTTGTGAATAAATGAAAACCGAATGCGTTTCCATATATCCACCTCTTCAGCCTATAGCAGTTTAGCCCCGCCCATTTGTGCTGAAGTTGTAAGGAGTGTTTCAGCCTGGGCTGCTTTTTAAAAAAATGTATTATAATTTTCACCCCAATTTAGTCATCGTCATAGCCACGCATTAGCTAGGGATCCCCCTATCACATGATGCTGCCAAGAGGGTGAAGGCTAGCACATGCTTTCTCTGAGACACGTGAAGCACCACCGCATCTTTTTAGACTGCCCCTAAGCAACATGATTGGACAGTTCAACACATTTGAAAGGGAATACTGCCTGTTCTGATACTAACTGCCAGTTCTGTTACATCAGACACCCATGTTGGCTAGCATTTTGCTGCTGATGGGGGAAAGGGAGGACCACCCAGCCCACCCAAAGGGAGACGCCAGTTATGCTCTTTTGACCTGTCAGCCATGGATAGCTGTGGCATCACCCAGGGATCAAACTTGCAATCTCCTGACAGGAGAGCAAACACTTAGATGCTAGGGAGCAGTCTGGACTGCTTTATGAGGCACAATACAGTACAGCCAATCAGAGCAGAGATTGTTTATAGTCTTAAAGTCTTACATGCACAGTAACAAAAGCAGTCTGTTTAATTAAAATGTTAAAAAGAGGCTGGAAAACGGTGATGAAAATAAATAAATCCACGCAAATGGTATCAGGGAAAACAATAAAATGCAAATTAGTAAGTAAGTGAGTAAATAAAGAAATAAACAAATAAATAAACATAAAAAGTCCCTTTGAGCTTTCTTCCTTTGACATCGCTGTTATATTTTACACAGAACTACCAGACCTTTCAAAAAGTGTGCCTGGGTGTTTCTAATTCATCTTCACCTGCAAATTCATTTTCTATGAAAAAAAAGTTGACGTTGTTCAATAGAACTAGTTTAGATCAAAGAATGTTCAGCAATGCATACATAGCTGTAATTTATTTTTTGTAAAAAATTGAAATAGTACTCACACAAGGAAGGAACGATAATGACACTTACTGACCACAAGATGGCGATATAAACAGCAGCCTGGAACGGTGAGAACTGCAAAGAAATGGCTACATTTTTCATAATCTTAAAGACAGCCTTATGCTTAAGTGATCCATATTTGTTTCTCAAATACAACAGCTTTGTGAATATCTGACACATCTTCAACCTTGTCGAATAATCACGATCATGTAAAGCCATGAAATACAAGTTACACATTTTACAGCAGCAGGAAAAAAAGCAGAAAACATATTTCACAGAAAACTACACATGAAGCTAAATATATTATATACATATTTTTGTGCCCACATTTTGGACTCTGCTATTCTTTTTCTATGCTTGCTTTCGGTTTTTCAAATAAATCTGTAAGGATATTTTTCCAAAGTCTCCAAAGTTCAGTCTTAGAAGTTGGTCACATTTTCTGCTTTTGTTTCCTTTTGTCAGTCAGGGCTTCTGGACAGCTACACATCCTTTCAGGCTCACAGTGTTGAGTTGTCTTCTTACAGTAGAAGGATGAACAGAAACACCTGTGGATTTTATCAAATCTGAAGCGAAAGTAGAGTTTGATTTTCTCCTCTCTCTCAAAGGCGTCTGTTTTTTTTCACTTTCTTTTTCAAGGCTTATTTTTAATCTCCTCAGAAGTATCTCTGCATTTTGACTGGAAAAAAAAGGCAGTCTCTGACTTTTGCACAGTGTTTTATACATATGTAAGAGAAAATTATCATAGTGTACTTTGTACTTTGTTTTATGTTTACTTTTTTCAAGCAAACTGATATTTTACACAAATATTAATAAAATATTAGTATCAAAGACTAACACATTTCAAGCAAATGTTACTTAGAAATATAAAAAATGTAATTTTGGTTCTGAACATCAGAATTTAGTCACCATCCAGTTTTTTTTTTAGTTTTCTACATAATTCGAGCACAAAAGCTCTTTACACTGTGTGAAAATTTTATAATGATTGAGCCAATAGAAATGTTCCAAATGCTTGAAAATGCTTGCTTGGAATAAAATCTCTTTATTTTAACTTATATTAAAAGTAAAGAAGGTTTTTGCATTCTGCTGTAAAGTTTCACATTCGCTACAGAGAACACACTTCTGCACATTTAATGCACAATTATTGTTTATTCATTGAATTTCATGTAACTTACTGGGGAAAAACATAAACAAAACATGGACTGTGCAAATGTTACAGTAAATTTAAATTTTCTATTTTTTCAATGTGTTAAATTCAGCAAATAAATAGAAACTGTGCACTCAAATTTACAGAAAATGTCATATTTACATTTGTTCCCTGTAGATGCTGTGTTAACTTATTTTTACTTAGAAAATCAACAAAACATGTCATTTGACTGGGGATGTTTAAACTTTTGCAGCCACAGAGTGCTAAACTGTGTAGCAGAGAAAAATCATTTATCGTCTGTTGTAGCACTAACTACAGAGCTCCAAACTGCTTCTGGAAGCAACATCAGCACAATAACTGTCTGTCAGGAGCTCCATGAAATGGGTTTCTATAGCTGAGCAGCAGCACACAGGCCTAAGATCACTGTACGCAATGCCAAGCGTTGGCTGGAGAGGTGTAAATCACTTCACAACTGGACTCTGGAGCAGTGGAAATGTGTTCTCTGGAGTAATTAATCACGCTTCACTATCTGACTTTCTGATGGACAAATCTGGGTTTGGCAGATGCCAGGAGAATCCTACCTACAGTAAAGTTTGGGGGAGGAGAGATAATGGTCTGGGGCTGTTTTTGGGGGGTTGGGCTCGGCCCCTTAGGCCCAGTGAAGGGTAACATTAACCCTACAGCATACGAAGACATTTTAGACTATGCTGACAACTTTGTGAGAACAGTTTGGGGAAAGCCCTTTCTTGTTCCAGCATGACTGTGCCCCTGTGCATAAGATGAGCTTCATAAAGACATGGTTTGATGAGTTTGATGTGGAGGAACTCCAGAGACCTGCACAGAGTCCTGATCTTGGTCTCACTGAACACCTTTGGAATGAACTGGAATGTCAATTATGAATTAGGCCTTCTCATCCAACAACAGTGCCTGACCACACAAATGCTCTTCTGGATGAATGGGCACAAAGTCCTAAGACACTCTTCAAAATCTTGAGGAAAGCATCCCGGAACAGTGGACACTGTTATAGTCACAAAGGGGGGCTCCATATTAATAACCATAGTTTTGGAATGGGATGTCCAACAACCTCATATGAGTGTGATGGTTAGGCATCCACATAGTTTAGGTATGTATATATATATATATATATATATATATATATATATATATATATATATATATATATATATGTGTGTGTGTGTGTGTGTGTGTGTAGGAAAGTTGTGGCAATTAAAATGAAGAAGTATATATATATATATATATATATATATATATATATATATATATATATATATATATATATATATATATATATATATATATAAATTAAACAAAGAGTTTTAAAATCTTGAAAAAATTTAAGTAAAGGAAAGTTGTGGCGATTAAAATGCAGAAGTATAATATATATATAAAATGCAGAAGTATAATATATATATAATATAATATAAAAATAATATATATATATATAATTTTTTCAAGATTTTAAAACTTCTTGTTTAATTTGGACCCCACTGTATATACCCTGCTGAAAAACAGCACAGACCAACATGAATTCCATGGTCTAAGCTGGTCTCAGCCGGATTATGCTGGTGTGGCGATGGTTTAGCTGCTCACCCAGCATAGTCATACTGACCTATGCTAGTTTTGCTATCAGGGTAGCTGCACTGAACATTACACACATTTTAATTCATTCTACGTCAGCACTATTTCTGTTAAAGGAAAACTGAGCTTGTTTCCTGTCAGAGCTCAGACGCCCAAGAAGCTCCTCCTGCGTGTGAGTGTGTGTGAGTGACAGGGAGTCAGAAAGCATGCTTTGGTTAACAAACTCAGACTCTCCTTCCTTGTTGCACAATTCCTTCCCCCTCTGTCTCATATGGTAGTGTCCAGCCAGTGAGTGAGTCCCCCCCCCCTCAAGTAATCAGATGGTATGACCCACTGGCCTAAACCCTCAGTCCTCAGTCTGCTCAAGTTAGAGTGTGTCTGACACTGAGGGGAGGGCTAGTGCTGTGCTAAAGTGAATATATTACAATATCCTGAGAGTGAAGTTAGTATCACACTGAGAGAGAGAGAGAGAGGGAGAGGGGAAAGAAGGAAAGAAAGAAATAAGAAGAGAGAGAGAGAGAGAGAGAGAATGTGTTGTGCTGGACTTGCTACTGATGCTGTGGAGAGTGTGTAACAGAGGGTCCAGTCCAGTGTGAGGTTTCTTGACCATCTTGTTGGCCGTGGCTGTGTGTATGTGAGTTTGTGTTTCCAGAGCCATTGGAATCATGAGCTCAAAGGGGACGAACCTGCACAACAAACGGCTGCCATGTGAGTACAATGCTGCACAATTTACCTTCTTACCTTTCAGCATTCAGTATCTTTACTGTTCATTTGCAACAAGTGCTTAAAGGGGAATGCCAATGATTTTTCAAAATTTCTGCATAATTCTTTCGTTGAGATGTAAACAAAACCAGCGTGGTTTGATGTGAAATGGGTCATTGTAGAGAAACTTATCAACTCAGATTCTTTACATTAACAGTAGTGGTGATGGGAACCAGAGGCCGTGATGATCTCCAACACAAATCTAGCCATTTTATTTACTATCTAAAACCAACAGTGTACCTACACGTGTTTTGTATGTAATGCTGATAATGGAAATATAGTAAAATGGTAGTAAATCTGGGGGAAAAAAAGGTTTTTTTTTGAGGACTACTTTGCCTTTCAATACCCTTCATGTATTCCTCCACTCTGAATGGCTTTTAAAATGTTTGAGGCCAAAACCTTATCTCAAAACTGTGAACAATGTAATCAGGCAGTATTAGATGTATTTGTAACTATTTCATATCATAACTTTTTGTGAAGTGGCTTTAAGAGGTGTTAATCACTTTGGATGTCTGGTTCCACCACTGTGAATAATTCTGACCATTTTCTTAGAAAGTTGCATTTTATATCAAACCATTTAGAGTGACCTTGTCTACATTTAAACAAAGTAATTCAAAGTGGTTTTGTGTTTTTATTTTATATTTTAAACAATTTAATTATGTACACATCAATACCATTAAGATTCTCTAGCAATTAGATCCTCGAAATCAGAATTAGCATTCCTCATTTTTAGTCTTAATGTTTTAAATTTCCAGAGTTTTGCTGACCCTCCTGTGTAAAGTTTGCTGACTTTTTGCAAATAAAGTGTTATATAATTAGAGATTATTCATGTTATTATTAAAGAGTCAAATTAGATCATGCAGTTGTCTAGAGGAATCAAACCATATACTAAATATACCAAACACTCCTCCAACTCCTATTTCCTCTTTAAATACTATACATAGCCATATGCAATACACACATTGAGTACACTGTGGCTACACTGCCATTAGACACTTTCTTCAACCACTGTTTGTCGCATTAGAGGCTGTTTATACAATCATAAAGTATCACATTATACTACATATTGTATTTCACATGCATCGAATGTTAATTTTACTGAAGGATAATGTTTTGTTATGAATATTTAACATTCAACAGCTTTGGCCTGTACAGAGTTGTTAAATATTCAACAGCCTGAAATACATACTTAATTTGTTGTTGCTGTAACATAATATGCATACTGTATATCATATGTGCATTGATCTAAATTTAAGCATGCCACTTCCAGGCTCTGCTAATTGTTTGAACTCATTGTTACATACATAATTAACTGTTCTTTTTATTAAAAACACAAGTAAATCCAGCTCAGGTCAGTTCAATTAACTTAAAATCAATTGAACTTGGAGAAATTAAAGACGAATTGCACTGTTTTTTAATCAAAAGAAACTTGGAGAGGCTGTTTTAAAGGTACAATTAGAGGTTTTACATTAAAGTTACAGTCAGTGATTTCAGGGCCAATGAACTTTATGGGGAATGTTGGAGAATACATAGACATGATCTCAGATACAAAAAACATGTTTAGATGCTACAATTCAGCAGTTAAAGACTGTTAATCGGTAAACTCATTATATTTATTATATGTTGACTTTGTACCATTTGTAAACAACATAATAAAAATGTCACCCAGTGCAGAGTGTAAAAACCTTAGCAATATGTCATACATTTTTGGTTGCTTTGCAAATCTCTTATTGTACCTTTAATGGTGATATAGCATCAACTACTCTTTCCAAGGGCTCTTAATTCCTTTCCTTATTTGGAGCTGTGTCTCCTCAGTCTGTTTCAGAATGTTGTAAGTAGCAGTTTTTAGGACTTGACGTTATCTGAAGGTAACAGATACTGTGAATCAAGTCAGTGCTTGTTTGGTGGTGTTGTTTCTGAGGGTTTCATACACAAGGGTATCACCATATTCGGCTGGGAACTTTCCTTATGATGGCCTCTAAGGATTTGCTGAGACTGAGTCTGAGTCAAGCTGCAAAGCTGCTGCACCCGATCAGCTAAACAAACCTTGGCATGGAACAAGCAGGGTTCTAGAATGTCTGTCCAGTTAATTCTACCACCCTGTTTGACTCAAGTCTTGATTGCTCAATCTGAAATAGCAAGCAAAATACATGATGATAAATAACTATCACAATATACATTTCTCCTGCCCAGCACTGTAGTTTATTAACATTAGGCTTTGTTGTTATGTGGCTACATAACAATCATAGATTTTTTCACATGTACTTGTTGCTTTCATACAGAATTCACATGAGTGGTGTAACTGCTGGCAGTACAGGTGTGACAATCCCAAGGTCTTCATTGGACTCCCTATATTTCTACTTTCATGTTCATTACTCATGGGTAGCTACTGTAACTTAAAGGACCCACATTCACCTTTTTCTTGCTTTTCATTTTTTTCCATGAGGTCCAAATTTGCCATAATTCATTTTTACATGATCATCTTCCAACGTCTCTTTATCGCTTATAAATGAACAGGCAGTTTTTGGTACTGTACCTTTAAGGCTGATATATGTAAATAAGAGCTCTGTTCTGGTTGGCTGTCCTGTATTGTACCTGTATTGCATTAGATTTTTATATATATATATATATATATATATATATATATATATATATAAACGTATATGTATGTATATATACACGTGTTGTATTTTGTGACATCACAAAAACAAAGAATTCAAAATGGATGGCCCTTTAATATGCTGCATTAGCCTACTTTAGAATAACAGTTTGACAGAGATCTAGCAATAGTGAGTAAACAAAAAATTACAAATTTTGAATGTCGCTCAGCCAATCAGATTTTAGAACCAGAGCTACCCATAAATAAGAACATTTTAGAGTGAAATCTGTAATGAAGAGTGGAGTCTATGAATGCGACTGTGCAGTCAGTCCAGGGAGACTAACTGTGAGGCTGCAGTGATTGTCTAGTTCCCACACTTCGTTGCTTCTCTCTCTCTCTCTCTCTCTCTCTCTCTCTCTCTCTCTCTCCCTCTCTCTCACCCACAGATGCACACACTTGTGTTGAGTAATGAGTCTAGAAATCAGATTGGTCACAGGATGACAAATCACACATTTTTCATGTTTTTGGGCCAAAGACTCATTGTAATCTAAATTTAATAAGAACCGTGTCTGCCTGGACGGTTCCATTCACCAGCTGCCCGGGGAACAATCTGCCATGGCCTGGCGGTATGGTCATTCGCCTTAGAAATGTTTATCCTGCAGGGAATGGCGGTGTTTCACTTGGCGTGGGCAATATCACACTATCTGGACTGTTTTACGGAGAGCCTTCATGTTTATGGAATTTTCTTCAAAGGGCTCATGTTCTACATTTTTTCTTGTCCTTTTAGTTTTTCTGTGTGTGTGGTTTTACAAAAACATATTTCTTTTTTACATAACCATTCTCCAGCCCCTCTTTATGATGATGTTGATATATGTAAATAACCTCTGTTCTGATTGGCCTTGTATTGTACCTCATTCGAAAAGCAGACTGGGTTGAAATGTTGCTGTTTGGCTTGAAATCTTGAGGAATGCTGAATGGTAATATGTAGATGTGGATCACAACCATGATAATTCAAAACAGCCTGTTTTTGCAGATCAGAAGAAAACGTTAAGTCTTAAACAATATTAACAAAACTCAAGAAACTCTTTGAGAAAGCAAGGAAAATTCAGTTTTTTAATGGTGAATTAATAAGCTTGTAAGTTTTACCCTCTTATAGTTAATACAAGGAACTGATGCAGGTCTTGTCTGTCCTTATTTCTTGTGCTTGTATTCCATGAACTGGCCAGCACCCAAAATGTTCCCCAGTAAAGTATCTGTTTGTAAATTTATGAGTTCTGGATTGCTTACTGCAGCCTCCAGTCTCTTTGTCTGCCGTCACAACTGTAAATAGTGGCTCTCTTTGCTCAGGAGTGTCGGCCTGCTCTTTGCTGCTGCAGATCTGTGTGCCAGCTCTAAATAAGGCAGGCTGAGGAAGTGGCCGGTAAGCTGCTCTTGTCTTCTTATGCGGTGATAAATCTCTCTGATGGAGATCCCTGAGGAACTGAGCAGAGAATCAGACTCACTCTGGAAGACCCTGAAACTCAACAACACTCACAATTCAAAAGACCAAAGAGGCAGGAATAGACACTGTCATTGTTAGCTAGTAGGAGGTGTTTTAGTCATTTTCAATGACTTCATTTTGATGGTGTGCTGCAGATTAATTTTTCTTCACCTGTAACTCTAACCTATCCAGAGAAAATGCAAAGGGACTGCTCAGCTTCAGCAATTTCAGGTGGTTGATAACTGGTTGCTGTGGGGGGAAAATAAATAAATAATAAAATATATATATATATATATATATATATATATATATATATATATATATATATATATATATATATATTATGTATGTATGTGTATATATGTGTGTGTGTGTGTGTGTGTGTGTGTGTGTGTGTGTGAGATCCATTCATCATGAAATTGTCACACAATGTAACGAGCATTATTGTATACACAATATGTGTGTGTGTGTGTGTGTGTGTGTGTGTGTGTGTGTGTATCACCAAAATTGCAAAGTGACTCAATCTATACTGTAGTAGATGGTTGTAGTAAAGTGCTTGGTGTCACAGTCACCTTTCGAACTTGCTTTGGTTTGATTGAATTATTTCAGCGCTTCATTCTTTTGGTTTGAAATATTTACTGATTGTAGACTATGTTGCAGAGAATGGCCCATAAGTGACATTAAGCATCTTTATTTTCATGCAACAAAGTGGGTTGGACAGTAAGTCATACCGAGAATATACCTGTGGGATGGATCTGGTTTTATACAGTGAAACTAAAAATCGGCACGCGTGGCCCCCCGACCTCGTTCCGTGGTCTGTAATAAGTGGAGCAAAGTCTCTCTTTCTCTTTCTCTCTCTCTCTCTCT